TGCAAGAACTGCTGGTGAAGGAAACCTTCATATCAGGGACCAAGTCAGCCAGAAATGCAGGGAATGGGACAAAACGTCCCGTTCAGATTTCCCAAAAAGCTGCCAGGTTCCTTGTTTTTTCTGTCTGCCATCCAAATGGTCACATCCAACCGTGTCCAACACTTGCATCCCAGTTGAGACTGCTGCCCATGGCTTGGCATCTCCCTCCCAGAAAAACATCCTGAACTCCAGCTGTCTGCTTCCCTCTGCAACACCATCCTGCTTGGAAAAGATGGCTTTGGAGTGGAGGGGGAAAAGAAGGATGATCCTGGGGGTTTTACCACCACTTTTCCATTGTGAGTGAGCTTTGCCCCTGCCTGGCACTCTCCTGATTTTGGGAATGCTGGCTGTGTACCCTCAGGGAGCAGGGAAGGCAGGCTGCAGTCTAGTCAAGCACTCGAGGTGTCAGGGCTGAGCCAGAACTTTTCTCACTCTGCTCTCACCGCGCGTGATCCGCCTGGATTTATTTTGTTTTGTTTTTCCACATTACCAATGTGTCAAGTACTCCCTGGTCTCTGCTGCCTTTTTTGGAGCCGTTCTGAAACCTGGCAGCTCAGCTGGTTTTTGGGTTGCTGTGCCACCAAGATTCCCAGCCATGCTTCCGATGCCATTGTCTGTGTCCTGGCTGACCTTCGCTCACACCGCTTGGGAGCTGCTCCCTTAATCCTTCAAGCTGTTATTCACCTTCCTTTTCTTTTCCAGCGGCGCCGTTGGAGAGTTTCCACTTGTTTCTCTGGGAGACACTGCTGAGTGGGTGAAGTGGGGTGACTTAATAAAATAGTTCCAAGGATTAAAACAATGGGCTGACAGGAGGAATGCAGGAGGATGGGCCCATGTGCTGACAGCTCGGCTGGGGAGGAGGACAGGAGCACGATCAGCTCCGCCAGGAGCGTGGGTGGAGCCTCTGCCTCTGGTGTGCCCTCCATGGTGGGCATCATCCCACATCTCCTTCAGCTTGGACACTGCTCTGGGACAGCTCCAGGGCTTGTGGCCTGGTTCCCCTTACCTGTGGTCATGGAACAGCAATGGCAGGAACATGGCAGCACCCAGAACTTGTAGGAAAACATAGGGAGACAGTGTTTTGGGAATAGCCGGCTTCCCTCCGACCACCAGGGAAATCCGTGTTGTTGCTGATGCTGGGATCTCTGTGTGTTCCCCTGTGCCAGCTGCTGCTTTCCCAAGCCTTGTCCCCAAGTCCATGACTCCAGGTGAGGGTGAGTTGCAGTGTGGAGCAGCTCTGCTCAGCCCCCACAGCAGGGTGGTGGCCCCGGGGTGGGCACAGCGGGCTGGGGACAGTCCGGGGCATGCCCTGGGGACACCAGTAGGGTTAATACTCCTCTTCCTAGCGGCTCGTGCAGGCTGAGGTTTGGAGAGGATCTGGCCTGGCCTCCTGAGACAGTGACTGTCACCAAGATGGCATCGTGTTTCAGTGGGAATCTCAGAAATGCTCCTTGGGATTCAGACCGAGTTCCAAGCCCATGGCGTAGCTGGGTGATGCTGGGATCAGCCTCGTGCCTTTTTGAACTCTGCGATTAATGGGATGAGCAGAAAGGATTTCTTTTTCCTTGTGAAACAATCTCTTATTTTATTTGGCTTTTCACCATCCAAGTACTAGGGATTCCTAGAATTTTCTCATTCCTGGCTGTTTGGGAGAAGTTCTGTCAATTTACTTTGCGCAAGTCTGCTGGAATGGGGAATGATCCTGCTAATTTGTTTGTTTCCCTCTTCCTGCCCTTTCTCTTGGAGGGTTTATCTCAGCTGCTCCTGGCTTGTCTGCAGGCACAGCCTGGATCCTGGGGTTGCCCCCAGGGTGGGATACTCAGTATTCCAGGGCTGAGCTGGTTCTGCTTGCTGCAGATCTGGATCTGTGCTGATCGCTGCTCCAGCCCAATGCATCCCAGGAGTGGCTGGAGGGACATCATCAGCAGTCTATTTCTGTTGGGAAATTGGCTTTTGTGGGCTTCATGATTGATTTCATTTTTCTCTTTTTGCCCTTTGTGCCAGAGGAGCATTTGTGTGTGAATGGCCTGCAGTGTCTGCAGCCCTGTCAGCATTCCTGCTGGGATGTGGCCCACAATCCCCACGCCTCCGAGCCCAACAATGCACACTCACACTCCCCTTGGTCCCTGCTCTGCTGAGAACAGCAAATCCTGTTGAGTTTTTTGGTCTCCCCAATATCTCACTTCCTTCCAAATAGATGGGAGAGGTGTTTGCTCCTGCAGGGAAGTTTTATAAACTGCCCCCACCACAGCTGGAGCTGCTGCCTGGCCCCTTCCTGGCACAAAGATTGCCTGGCTGTGTCTGAGGAAGGGGAGATGTTCTTGTGAACCTGCAGCGCACATTTTGCTTTTCTTCTGAGGGTGACTTGTCTTCAGCTCAGGAGGTCTGGAAATGATGCCTTTGGGTGTGGAAGTCACGGGTATAGAAAGAGCTTTCCTGCCTTGCATTTCTGGTAGTAAAAACATCTCAGTCCTGAGCAGATCTCTGACCTCCTGCCCTCATGACCACAGGTCAGTTTGTCAGCATTTCCCAAATCCTACACCTGTGCAATAACACTTTGTTCTCTGTGTTCTAAACCATCTTTGCACGTGTTGGAACTGGGCTTTTCCAGGTGCTGCTGCATGGGGAGCACACTGCTCCTGTGGCAGCCCTGCTCCATGTGGGGCTGAGCTGGGATGGTTGTGGTGATATTCCCACCTGTGTTTTGTTTGCCCAGGTGATTCCCTTTAATCTTTGTGTGACACGGAGCAAAGGCCACTTGGACACGCTTCATTAAGAGCAGGAGAAGGGACTTGCTGCTGCTGGAGTCCCTGGGGCTGTGCAGTGCCATGGGAAGGAGCAGCTCTGAAGTCCCTTTTTCCCTGGTGCTGTTTTGTGTTGCTCAGGCCCCTTCCAAAGGCCCCTCTCGTGGTCAGGAAGTGTTATCAGATGTGCCTCTATCAGGCCACAGCAAGCAGTGCCTCCGCCTTAACCGTCGGCTTTTTTGGGGAGCAGGAGCCACACAGCTGCTCTCAACTCTTCCTGTTTCTCTCCTTTCTCTTTGATGTGCTCCTTCCCAGCTTGGCTTGTGTTTTGCTGCTGTGGGACAATGCTAGTCCCCTCTGCTCACTGCAGTGTCCTGCCTAAAATCCAGCCTCTGGAATATTGAGGGTCTGGCTGGGCTATGGGAGCATCCAGCAGGGCTGACCCACCCCCTCTCCGGGGCTGTTTTGTGTTCTTTCTCAGTTGCCTTGAGGTGGTCAAGCTTGTTCCAGACCAAGCAGCAAAGGGGGGAAGAAAAAGGGGAAAGAAAATCAGTTCTCTTCCTCCTTATCAACAGGGCTGCAGAAAAGGGAAGTGTGTTCCATTCTGTGGTGCTCAGGAGGCCTGTTTTTCCCTCCCTTATCAGTTTGGAAATGTTTTGAGTAGAAGATGCCATGAAACCCAAAGAACTGGGAGGCATTGCCATGTTTGCCTTTGTAAAATCATGACCAATTTTGAGAGAAGTTTTCTCCTTTTCTTGTGCGGGTTTGGGGTTTTTTTCTTCCTTAAACACAGACCTGGTTGCAGGAGGCTGCTCACTCACCTCAGGCTTGCCTGGGTCTTCCCAGGAAAAGTGGTTTTTTTGTCCAGACTCTGTCAGTGGATCTTTATTTTGAGATGAATTCTGTAGCTATAAGATGTGTTAATAGAGTGTTTTCTTGTGTCCTCCAAGACGATTATGGCTTATGTGAGATTCCCATTAACACATGGAACTCAAGCACATGAGGCATGCAAGGATTTCCCCTGGGACACCTCACAGCTGGAGCCTCGATGGCAAAGCCAACTGCCTGGGGAAAACTGTTGTGGGACTGGCATCTGGCTGCCCAGGAGCATGAGCAGCTCTGTCTCTTTTCCCAAAATCCAGTGTTTTTAAGGGATTGCTTACTGGCATTCCTGGCCCCGGGGGGTGGCAGTTTGTACCGCCGAGAAGGCGCTGCCTATTGTGTTCTTCAGCAGCTCGAAATGGGGTTGATGTGTGCTGCAGCCACGCTCCTCTGGAGCTTTCCCAAAGGGGAAGAAATATTTCCTTTTCAAGTCGAGCAGCACGGAGCCAACGGATGGAGCAACAGCCTCTGGAGCCGGCTCTCAGCAGGGCTGTGGCCATGAGCACCCTGTCCTTGCCAGCCTCTGGGGGCAGGAGGGACTGTCACTGTCTGTGCCCTCCTCCTGACACTCCTGGCATTTCCCAGGTGTTGGAAGTGTTGGTTTTTCCCTCTTTTAGGGTGATGATTTCCTGTGTTTGGAGCTGAGGTCGAGGAGTGGGAGGAGAACTGGTCTGCAGCTGTATTGGAGCATCAGGGTCCTGGGGCTGTGAGTGGGCTCTGTGTTTATTCAAGAGCCTGAAGTGACTCCTTGTAGAGAAGTTGTGCTGGTCAGGATTCCTGGAAGGGCATCCAGGGATTGGGTGGTTTCTGTGGTGTGTGCCAGTCAAACTGGATGAAAACTGGCTGAGAATGCACAGAGAGCTCCTCATTCCCCTGATCAGGCTGGTGGGAGCACAGTGGCTTTATGGTGTGTGCCTGCAGAAAGAATTGGTGTTTGTAAGGAACAAATCTTCAGGGATTTCAGTGCCAGCAGCCCCTAACACACAAAAACCAAGCACCTGAGAGACTCCTTGTCCAGCAGGAACTCAGGAATGGCTCTGAAAATCTGAAAATTTCCTGTATCTGTATTAAAGCATTGCTTTAACTGTAAAGGAATGAACAGGCATCGGTCCATAGGATGCTTTTCCTTTTGTCCTGTCCCTCCCAGGGAATGTGAACTTCCCGCAGCCAGGGGCTGTGTGGGTGCTGATAGGAGCCTCTGGAGCACGAGGGGGAAGCAAACAAACAAACAAGTCTGGAGGAGGGAAACGATTAGCCGAGCCTCAGCTGGTTGTTTCCCCTCTTGAATGGCTCTCTTTCATCAGGATGTGTTGGGACAAGTGCTTTTTCAAGCCAGGATATCAGTGGAAGACACAGTGTTCCCTAAAAGCCATCCAGTTCCCGGGGAGCATCAGCAGCCGCGATTCCTCTGCTCCGCACAGAAAATACGCTTGACCTTTTCTTTGCCTTCTGGTGTTTTTTATGGGTTTAGAAGCAAAAGGATGTGAGTTTTCCAGCTGGTTATGAATCTTTTCGATTTCCCTGACTTCTGTCTGACGCTGGGGCCACCACGATGCTGCCGCTGTGCAAAGAAAACCAGCCCGAATTAGTATGTATGAGCCACGGGGTCGTGCTTGGGGCATCTGTCACCCCTGCCGAGGGGCAGAGGCTGGGGGTGTTCTTTAATGCCAGGATTTGGGTGTTCTTTAGGAAAGGGGTTTTTATTTAAAAAAAAAAAAAAAAAAAAAAAAAAAAGCTCGGAGTTTTAGTTGTTTCCTGGGATTGCAGGATTTAAAAGGGAGTTGTGCCTTGCCTTTCTCACTGAGCTGTGTCCAGAGCAGTTGTGTGAAGTGGCAGAGCGCAGACAGTTCCCAGAGCGAGATAAGGGCTGGGCTTGGGTAACGTTGTTGTTACAATGTGGTGTAAACTCTGAGCAAAGAGGCGTTTGGGTGTGTTCTCTGTGTCCAGCACATGGAAACCCGGGCTGGTGTGGAGATGGGGAATGCTGGGGGTACAGGAGGGTTTGAGCAGAGTAGGAACGGGGATTTCAGTGGAAATGGAAACCTTGCTCTCAGCAGGCTCCTGGCTTTGCTTTCCGGTTCATTCCACACACATGGAAACACGGGAACAAAAATTTTGCTCTGTGAGTTGTCCTTTTCCTGGACCACTCGCTGCTCCAGCAGCACAGCTTTCTCTTTTGCCTGCATCTGGGAAAATTCTGCTTTATTGTCACAGATTTCCTAACTGCAGGAGAGAGAACATTTGTCATGTATCATCAGAGCAGGAGATCCTGATAACTTCGGGAAGGAGCTCTGTTTTTCCCAAGGTTTTTCCTGCTGCAGCAATCCTAATCAGTACTTTGAGGTCAAAGATACTTTGGGGTAAAACACTGGAGTAAAATATCTATTTCAGGATTTGTTTTGCTTTCCCAAAGAAATACTCCCCCAAATTCTCAGGGTGGGAATGCTGGGAATTATCTCCTGGTGCACGATCTATAAGCATTCCCTGCCTCTTGTGAGTGCTGAATATCCCATACATTGTGTGGGGGTCGCTGCCTTTGTGTCACTTCTGGCCTTTTTTAACGCTTTCCTGTGAGGTCTGGGGTGAGAAGGAAACAAGGCTCTTCCTAGCTGGCTCCTGGAAGGAGCCACGTTCCCATTTGTTCCCATTTGCAGCCGTGGGTGCCGTTATCCCGAGCCAGGCTGAGCTTGGATCCTGCTCAGACCCAGCCACTGAGGTGAGGGGGGAGTGCTGGAATCCTGTGGGAATGGAAGTGGAGAATTGTTGGAATTAGAGTGTGCTTCTCCTGCTGTGTTTTATTGATCTTGTGGAGCCTGCAATTGAGGCAAAATTTTAGTTCACTTTTTAAAAGCAACTGAAATCTCGAATTTAAACCTGATCCAGATTTTTCTGGGGAATTCTTGAAATTCAGTTGAAACAGGAGGAGGCTTTGCCTGGGAACTTGGGCAATGTTCTTAAGAGGTTAGAAAATCTGAAATTGTGTGAATTTCATGTCTGTCCTCACAAAAATGCTGAGGTAGAACAGAGAATTGAGAGCATTACCACTCACTCCTTCCCCAAGGCAAAGACCATGGATGAAATATGGAATAGATGAGTGCTGGGAGTAGTAACTCCAGAGGGATCATTTGCTGGAGCATAAGGAACTCCTGTGTAGCACAGTCTCATAATGCAGAATTCCTGTTTAGGAGATGCAGACAGTCATTAATGGTGATCTATGATTCTATGGCTGTGAGCGTGGGCCGGCGGAAAACTGGGCTTTGGAGCAACAAATGGCTCTTGTGCTGTTTGGGGAGCAGAGCAAACACATCCCAAGCAATTCCTGTGCAGCTGAAAGGTGCCTCAGGAGACAGGGATTTCCAGCCATGTGGGAAATGCAACCTCACTGCTTCTGGCCAAAGCTGCTTCAGAAGGATTTCCGAGGTTCTCGTGCGTGTCCGGGAGTGGTGAAATCCAACTGTGCCGGTGCTGTTCTGCCTTCTCCTCCTTTGTGCTCCAGCCCTGGGTGTCATTTCCCTCTGGAAATGTCACTGTGTTTGCCCAGACTCTATCCCAGGATGCTGATCCAGCCACAGCAGAGCCAGACCTCTGCTCTTGTGTTGGTTATTTGTCCCTGAGGGTCCAGAGCTGTGTCCTTTCCCTTGGGATGTGCAGGTTCCATCTCCCTTCCCCTTTAAGTCTACATAGTTGCAGGTTCTTGTTTTTGCATTCCAGAGAAATGTCAAGAACTGCAATCAGCAGGAAGTGATGGGCTCAGAACCTGCTCTCCATGAGTCCGTTGCAGGTCTCAGCCTGTAAAAAGTCCAACCCTTTGCTTCTTTTCAGTTGCAGAATTCTAGAATCGGTGATAAAGTCATTTCCAGCCCATGACAGCTCAGGCAAGTATCTCCTGCAGGGGCCAAGTAATAAAACAGTGCTGGAAAATGACAGATGAATAATCCATGAATAATCCCAGAGTCATGCTGTGCAAGTGGCTGTGGCAAAATCCTACTATTTTAGAAAGGAAAGCACTTCCTTTCCCAGATGTGCACATTTTGCTGCTCTTTCCTTTCAGCTGACTCCTGTGTGGTTTTTTTTTTTTTTACCAGCCTCAGCGAGAGCTTTTTCATGGTGAAAGGTGCAGCCCTTTTCTTACAGCAAGGAAACAGCTCCCAGGGCCAGCGAAGCCTCCAGCATCCCCACAAACATGCAGGTAATGATTCAATCCCCTCTGGAGATCCTTTTTCCCTCCCATCCAAAGGGACAGGCTCCTAGCACAGGTGGGTGACACCCCAGGTTGTCCTGGTGAGCCTTGTACAACCTGCTGAACAAACCCAGGGTTTCAGCCCACATTCAAATTACTGAGTTTTTTATTGGGATCATTGAGTTTTGGTTTAAACTTTTATCATTCTCTTGGAACTGTGACTGGAATAGAAACTGGAATAGAAACTTCTCTGTGAAAATCATGGCATTTTGCATGGCTTTCTTTAGGCAGGGAAGCCTGTGCAGCCAGAAGGGCTGTGTGGAATCTTTCCCTGCTTTCCCCAGCCACAGAGGAGGAAATGTCACTTGTGCTTCAGTGAGTTAATCTTTGCCTCCCCTTTGGTTTGTGGCAGGGCTGAGTCACAGAGCTCAGCACCCCTTGGGCACTTGTGGATGTCCTGGACATTTCTCCAGGGGCTCTCCCAGCCTCCAGTAATCTGAAGCTTGGGACTTTTTGCTTTGGAACTTCCTGTTGCTGGTTTTGTTTGGATGTTGCTTGTCAGAGTAAGGGATGTTTGATTTGGGTATCTGGAGAGATGTACATTTGTTAGCTCCTCATATCCTGGTTTCAGGAAAACCCCCTTTCCTGTCAGCTCACCACAATCTGTTGGAGTTTATCATGGTTTAAGAACAGACTGTCCTGCTTCCCCCAGTCCCTTCCAGTTGCCAGCTGGTGGGAAGAAATGGCAGGGAGTGGTGTGGTGAGTGTACACACAGATTTGGATGCAGATAAGGACATCCAGGGAAGTTGATTCTGCTTCCCTAGTGTTTATACCCTCTGCCTTTGACACTTTGGGAATAGGTGGGTACTGGGCAAGAAGAACTGGGATTTTGGGGCATTTTGAGAGCAGGAGCCTGTGGGAAAGGCACAGTGTGGTACTGTGTGGTGCTGCTTAGCAAACACTCCAGCACAAAGGGGGTGTTTGAGTGCCAAGCTTGGCTTTGGGTTTCTTTAACTGTCAGCAATTCCACATACCCAGCAAACAGCCCACGGAAGGAATTTTATCTCACATGGAAAGTTATGAGTGCATTACTCAGTTATTAGATGGGAACTTGGTTTGTTTTCCTGTAGATTCCTTGTTCCTTTCGTCTGCTTTCCCCAAACAGAAATGTACCTACAGGACTAGAGCTGAAGCAGAACGTGGAGACAGAAGGGCTCCATCACCCAAACCAGCCCATTCCTGCAGCCCTTCCCTCTGTAGGTCACTCATGCTCAGTCACACCCTCTCTAGGGCTGGTGGGGCTGATCCCACCACGCTGGGGGTGATTCACAGTTCAAAGTTGTTTTTTTCTCCTTTGTTCCTATTTTTTAATCAGTTTTTCCTCCTCTTCTCCCTCACCTGTTCTCATGGCCACACCTTTCTGTCCTCTCTAGGGTGCTGTGACAGGAAGAGAATCCTCACTTGTGCCAGGCACAGGTGGTTTCCATTGATTTGGTGGCTTCCAAATACTGTAAGCTTGGGTTCTCACCCATCCCGGGAATGCTCATCCATGAATCTCATTGCTCTTAGTGCTCTCTGGGACAACAAAGTTAATTTACCTCCCTTAATTAGTATTTTTTTTACTTAAAAACATCCAATTTCTTTAAAGGTCAAGACTCTGCTGCTTCCTAGTGCAGCAAGAGCCCCTTTGTGATGATTGCTGTGCTTTCTGTGCAGGTGACTTGCCCCAGCACCTCCAGGTGATGATCAACCTCCTGCGCTGCGAGGACAGGATCAAACTGGTAAGGACAGGTGCATTTTCCTTCTCTCATTTCTCTTGAAAGTGTTTGCAACAGGCCTGTAGAGAAGCAGGAAAAGCATTGGCAAATCTTAGATTTCAGAGCTGCCTTAGCTCTGTGCTGGTTTCCAGCCCTACCCCACTTTCCTGACCACTCCTTTTGCCCTGCTCCTTGTGTCCAGGTGTGAGTTGGGTCAGGGAACTGCTCTGTCTGAAATGGTTTGTTTTGTTAGATTTAATTTTCCATCCAGTTGACAAACAGTAATACAGGAGGAGACACAGGACCTTGCTGATTCTCTTGGACACTTTTAAGTCAGCCTTGAAATTGCATCAGCTGGGCTGGGCTTTCTTTTGAAGAAATCTGCAGATAAAAATCTGCTGTAAAAGTCACTTGTCTGCAAAGAAGTTGATGCCAGTTGTGCCTCCTGCAGGACTGAGCTATTTCATTGAAGGTTTGGGAGTGGGAGAATCCTCTGAGCCTGCCTGTTTTCTGCTCAGTGCATGACCAGTGTTTTAACACTTCTTGCTTGAAACTTCACAACAAGCCTTTGAGTTACATTTTGTAGTGCACCCCCAACCTAGAGCAGGTAACCTCAGCTCATCTTCCCCTCACCAAAACAGCAACAAGCCTTGCTGTACCTTCCATACTGCACTAAATAAAGCTTTTGGGGGTAGTCAGAGCTTCCAAAGCCTTGTGCAGCAGTGGCAGCACTAACGAGGCAGAGGTGGTTTGCAGGCCGTGCGTTTGGAGAGCGTGTGGACCGACCGCGTGCGCTACATGGTGGTGGTGTACAGCAGCGGGCGGCAGGACACCGAGGAGAACATCCTGCTGGGAGTGGACTTCTCCAGCAAGGAGAGGTAGGTCCAAGCTGGCAGCCAGGCAGGACGGGCTCTCTGGCAGCACCAAACTGTCCCCAGGCAGTTGGGTTACCTGCATCTGCAGATTCCAGCAGGAGAAAGGACACGGGGATGAGTCTCTTTCAGTCTCTCTGGAATCGAAGGCCGTGGCATCCACCTCACCACTGGGAGTTTGCTGCCTGCTCCCTGCAAAATGCTCTTGCAGACACATTTGCAAAACTGGAACTCATTTTCTCCCCCAGACTCCAGTGTGTTGATGGAATGATGCAATGGAGCTGCTTTTGTAGTAGCTTTGTTGCCAAATAACGTCAAAAAACAATACTGCAGAAGTGGCTCCAAAACCAACAAACAACTGTGTCAGCAACGAGCTGTTCCTTTTGTCTGACTGATAAGAGCACACAGTATTTGGAAAAGCAAGTGAAATACTTTGTTATTGCAGCCTCTCTCAGATTATTCCAGTTCTGGTGAGTAAACCAAGGCAGAAAATCTCTTGGCTCAGGGAGAAGGGGCTGGTTTGGCAGAGCTGGAGTCAGAGGCTGGAGCTGCCAGGCTGTTGTGTGTGTTCTCCCAGGATTTAACAAGCTGCCCTGTCCTTGTGGTGCAGCCTCTGTGAGTTTTGTTTCATTCTGGAAAACCTTAGTGGTGGTTTCCCCTGGAAGGTGGGAAGAGGAAGCTTTGCACAGTAGAGGGATCTGTAGGGAAGCTCCCAGCTGTGCCTTCCTGTCAGATTATTGTCATTGGCTTTGATGCTGCCTCTGTTTTGCTCTGAAATTCCCATGTGGCATTCCCTTGGTGTGCCACAGCAGGGGAGGTTTGCCATGTCACCTCCACTCTGAAAGAACTTTGCATTAATTTGCTCCTGGTGATTATTGATGTGAGGCAAGAGGCAGAATGGATTTCTGTTGCTGTCTGCATCCCAATTTCCTTTAAAACCTTAATATCTCAGTAGCTTAATTATTTATGGCTGGAAGTTCCTGGCCTTCATTATAGCAGGGTTTTCTTGCCAGATTGCCTGTCTGAAGTGAAAGTGTTCTCTTGGGTCAGACAAACCCCTAAAATCCATTTTCATCTGTTCCACCTGTTAGAGTGACCCCATGGAGCAATCACCAAGAGTTATCACCTTGTCAGACCTTCAGACTCTAGCTTCCAGTTTTATTTCATGGCCTGAAATATTACAAGAGATTACTAGAGCAAGGCTTGAGGATTTTAAAAATTAAAGAGTATTAATAATTTAGGCTATTGGCATGACCACATCGTGGCCTATATTTAACTTCCTGTCTCACCATCTCTCTTCCAGTAAAAGCTGCACTATAGGAATGGTTCTTCGCCTGTGGAGTGATACTAAAATCCACCTGGATGGGGATGGGTAAGAAACCACATTGAAAGGATAAATGTGAATGTCCTTCCCTACCTGGGGGCTGCTCTAGGAGAGATTCTCCATCACCTTGCAAATGAAGTGCCCATTTTGGATTCATGGCTGCAGAGTCCTCTTATTCAGACAGTGAGTTCTTGTCTTGCTGCCCTCACACTGCTCCCGTGGTTCCAGGGAATGCTCTGAAACCCCACTGAGGACTGGAGCTCCCATTCCTGGCAGCCTCTTGCCATTCATACTTGGGAGGTCGGAAAATCAGTGAGAGAAATTCTCATCCTGATTCTTTTGGCCTATGGGTGCCCCAGTGCAGTGGCTGTTTGTAGAGGGCAGGTTGGGGTGCAGAGAAAAGCAGTTTTTGACTCGATTTTCCCTCTCTCCATCAGTGGCTTCAGCGTGAGCACTGCAGGGAGGATGCACATCTTCAAACCTGTGTCAGTGCAAGCCATGTGGTACGTGAGGGGCTGGGCTCAGGGAGACACTCTCCTTACTGTCAGTAAATTTAAAATAAAAAATCAGCTGCATTTTAGCCTTCTCCACAATGGGTATTTAGCGACCTGCAGCAGAGATCTGCTTCCCTGAGTCAGCAGAGGGACTGTGGGAATCCTGCTCCCAAACCAGCATCTGCTGCTTCAGTTCAGAGCAGCTCTGTGCCCTTCAGCATGGGGGAAGTGGCACCAGGGAGATGAAAAAATATGAAAGATGAGCTCGAATTCCTGGAGCTCCAAACCAAGAATTTCCTCTCTCTGCATGTTTCTCTCTGGCTGACAGAGGAGGTTCAGGGCCCATTGCCAGCCTGTGGCATTCCCTGTGTCCTGCCCCATTCCTGGGGTTCCTGCAGCCCCAGGTGCCCATTCTCCTTCCAGCTCCTGCCACCCCTCCCCTGTGCAGGGATTCCAAACCCCTGAAGCAGAGATGGCTGAGCCAGCAAATTCCTCCCTGAAGAGGCTGCTCCACATGGAACTGCATCTCCCTCTGCCTGGGCAATGCTGTCTCCCCTTGGAGCCTGGAGAGATCCCAGTCCCTGCAGCATCTCCTAGGGAGGAGATACAGCTGTGGAGAAGGATGTTGTGCTAGGGATGGTTTGGTGCAGAAACAAAACTCCTGTTCCTGTCAGTTTTGAATTTGGCCCCTCCTGTTGCCAGCCTTGGATGTGGTCGATGTGTTCAGTCCAAGAACTTCAGAGCAGAGCCTTAAAGAAAGGAAAAATTGAGGAGGGAAGGAAGGAAAAAGTAATGTTAGGATTTGCAAAAACAAATGACCCAATCTGGGCCTTGTCCCTGGAGCCTGTCAGGGGCCAGGAATGCTGGTAAATATGCATCAGGCTCCTTGCTGGAGGTGGTTGGAAAATTGTCCCTGTTCTTTATCTTCCTTTGGCTGTACAAGCTGGTTAATGATTAGATCCCAGAGCGACTTGTGCCTCCTTCTTCCCTGTTAATTAGGAGAAGATTTCAGCCCTTGCCTCAGCCCTGCTGTGAGAAGCCCCCAAGGTGCAGTTTGTGCCTCTTTGAGCTCTGACACCATAAATTTCCTGCTTTCAAAGAGCAAACTGCAACAACTAATACTGAAAACCACTTTTCCTCTGTGAAACTCTTAGCTTTATCTGCTCACAGCTGCCCAAATCTCTTCTCCCACCCTGCAGGTCTGCTCTGCAGATCCTCCACAAAGCCTGTGAAGTTGCCAGGAGGTACAACTACTTCCCAGGAGGGGTGGCACTGGTGTGGGCCACCTACTACGAGAGCTGCATCAGCTCTGACCAGAGCTGCATCAACGAGTGGAACGCCATGCAGGACCTGGAGTCCACCCGCCCCGACTCCCCAGCCCTCTTTGTTGACAAGTCAGTGCAGCATTTTATTTGGAAAAGTTTGCTTGGCTCGTGAAGAAAATCTCCCCTTCTCCCTGTTCTTCCTGGTCTGATTCATTTCTGGGGCTGCAAAAGCAACAAAAAAAGAATTTGTGTGAAATGGTCAGACATGAAACTTTAGCTTGTGATATAGTGTGTAAGCACCAACAAGCTGCCTTTTTTCTTTTTTTTTTTCTATTATTCCCATAAAAATTCCCTTTACCACAAGCCTTTCCCCTCACTCCTCAGTGCTGTGCACTGGAATCATCCTCTCCTCTTCCTGCTCCTTCCCAGGCCGACGGAAAGGGAACGAACGGAGCGGCTCATTAAAGCCAAGCTCCGGAGCATCATGACCAGCAAGGACCTGGAAAATGTGACTTCCAAGGAGGTAAATATAAAAAATTCTCACTCTTGTTCTTCCTGCCAGACTCCCTCTCTAGAGAGTGGGGAGCAGGCACCGTATGCCTGGGTGTCCCTGGCTTTGGAATGTGCATTTCAGCCATCCTGTAAAGGCTCTGCTCTGGCTTTGCTGAACCTCCCTCCTGAAAATCAGGATAATCCCAGCATCACAACTGTCTTTCAGGACCTCAGTAACAGCTGTGTGACTTTCAAATTGGATTTTAAGGTTTTATTTTCTTTTTTTTCCCCGGACAAATGTCAGAGGACCTTGCAGACAGCATTTTGCTAGTGAGGTTATGATGGAAAATCACAAACCAAGGCTAGAGCTCGTTTGGATCCATCCCCCAGGCTGGTGTAATCCATCCACCCACAGTGCAGACGTGATTGGAGTGGGAATGGTTCTCTTTGGGGTGGGTTTTTGATTTTTAAGGGAGGTTATTAACATGCAAGTGGTAGGAGGAAGCTGAGAACGTGTCTGTCTGTTCCTCACTCCTCCTGCAGACAAGCTCTTGTTTTTTATCTCTCAAATTACTATTTTTAAGGACCAGGTATCCCAAAATACTTTTTTCCCTCTTCAGATGTTATCTGAAGCTTTATTTACAGCTCCTTAATTTGGGAATTTAGGATACCAGGATGCCAGGGCAAGGGACAGTGGTTTTAAACTGCCAGAGGGGAGGGATAGATGGGATATTGGGAAGGAATCCTTCCTGGTGAGGGGCTGAGATGGAATTCCCAGAGAAGCTAAAATCCCTGGAATTGTCCAAGGCCAGGCTGGATGGGGCTTGGAGCAACCTGGGATAGTGGAAGGTGTGGAACAAGAGGAGCTTTAAGCTCCTTTCCCACACAAACGGTTCTGGGATAATTGGAGAGATGCCACATACTGAAATTCCTGGTCTCCAGAAGGCTGAGTCCCTGTTGCTTTTTTTAATGAAAAAGTGGAAAGTGTTCTGCAGGGAAGTGCCCTCAGATGTTTCTGTTGGGCACCAAGATTCCAATGCCATCGTTTGTGTTTGCTCTGCAGATCCGAAACGAGCTGGAGAAACACATGAACTGCAACTTGAAGGAATTCAAGGAATTTATAGACAATGAAATGCTGCTGATCCTGGGCCAGATGGACAAACCATCCCTGATTTTTGATCATTTGTACCTGGTGAGTGTCAGGAGCTCCAGGAGAGCTCTGCTGTGCTGTGTCCAATGCGTTGCCACTAGATGGTACTCCAGGCAAAACCAGGCTCTGCCTCTGGAACAAAGACTTCCCAGAGATGAACACTTTGTGCCCATTGAGTCTTTTTGTTGTTGTTCTGGATAGAGTCAGAGGAATTGCTCGTGTTTCAGGGCAAAATCTGCTTTTTAACAGTTTAAAGCTTTCTCTTGTGACTGTCTGGGGGGAAATCCAAGGTGTAACTACCCCCCAGAGTTTCAGGATTTGCCTCACTTCTCATGTGTGGCATGTCTGGCATGACAGGTGCATTCACTTTGTTCTCCTGAACTATTTCTCCCTGTGTTTAAAACTCCAGAGTGGCCAGGGGCAGTGATTTGGGATGAGCTCAGTCACACCCTGGCCTAGAATCAACTCTGTGGGTGAGTCGTGCCCTGGTCCCTCCTTCAGCAGGTCCTTGCCTGCTCAGGACAGGACATCAATGCCCTATTTCTGTCTCAGAAGCTGTTCCCAACATTCCAGTCAGCTCAGGAGGATGGCTGGGGCTGGGGGATTGCAGGCTGAGGGAAAAGGGCTGGTTTGGGGCCCTTTGGAAACGTGTGTTTGTGGCTGTTGCAGGGCTCCGAGTGGAACGCGTCCAACCTGGAGGAGCTGCAGGGCTCGGGGTGAGTACTGCTCCTCCCAGCTCCAGACCTGCACTGTGTGCCTGCAATTCCCCCAGGACTCTGGAGAGGACATTTGCAGGCTCTAGGGATGATTTTGCCCCTCAGCCATGGGGTAATTCCCACCAGCAGCTCTGTGGAGAAATCTCTCCAGCCTCACTTTTATCATCAGCTCGGAGTGAAAATAACAAAACTTGTCGTTGGTGAGATCCATCAGGATCTCCATCCCCCAGTGTTCCCAGTGCTGTGTCAGTGTGAATTCCTGCAGGCTGCAGAGGAGCAAAGGTTGCAGCACTAAGGAAAACTCTCTATTCAGATGGAGCAGAGCTGCCTGTGGATGAGCAAACTCCTCCTCACCTGCCTGGACAGGAGCTCCAGGTGTCTCTCCCATCCCCATGGTGCTGCTTGGCTCCATTCCCTGCCACACTTTTTGGATCAGGGAGAATTCTGCCTGTAAATGTTTGCTGCTCACTCAAGGCCTGCACCCAACCTTGCTGTAAGGAACTGAAATTCTTCACAATTTCAGCACAGCTTAAAATGTTTCATTTGGAGTCCTTGGGAGCAGATGTCTGCACATCTTGGGACAAGGAAATCAAGCAGGGTGTTAATGATTATGTCTTGTGTTGGGATATGCAGTGTCCAAAGGCAAAGCTGGACAAATTCTGAGACAAATATCCTGTGTCCTTGATTTTTCTCGGTGATAGGAGGTGATAAATCAATCTGGACATTCATTCTGGGGTACATTGTTATCCCTGCTGTGACATTTGGCAGGAATCAAGAGATAACATGTGACTCTCATGGTTTTGGTCAGAAAGAAGGGGAAGGGATGGGATTGCAGCTAAAACCTGCAGCTGGAGATGGTGACTGGAGCTGGGCTATGTTCCCAGATGATTCACTTCTTTCTGCATCCCCAGAGCTATGTGGCACAGCAAGGAGTTCTTGGTTGGGTTACACAGATTCAGAGACAATAAATGAGATAAAGTAAATTTCTCCCTCCTGTGCCCAGGGTGTTTGGACACTTGGGATGTGCTGGCAGTGAGAGGTGGCAGAACAGCCCCTGTGTGCCCTGTGTACCAGGAGTTTAGGATTAGGGCTGTAGGCAAAACCTTACAGCTCGTGTTGGGTGGGATTGCATGGATTCACAGTGTCCCTCAGGGCTGTTTGGTGACCATGGCAGCTCAGGGTGTCTCTCCTGGTCCCACAGCATTGACTACATCCTGAACGTCACCCGGGAAATCGACAACTTCTTCCCAGGCCTGTTCGCGTACCACAACATCCGGGTGTACGACGAGGAGACCACGGACCTGCTGGCACACTGGAACGAGGCTTATCACTTCATCAACAAGGCCAAGTGAGTGCTGGGACACCTGGCCCTGGGGGAGGGCACATCCCAGCTCTCTGTGTCTCATCCTGGGCCCTCACAAAGCCACAGGACCTGCAGGGCCTTGGCATCATCATTGCTTGTTCCTGGAGCTCCCTCGTGCCCTGTCCCTTCCTGGACTGGCATTAACCTGTTCTTAGCCCAGCATTTTTGTTACTAATTTGTTTTGCTTCCGAAAGGAAATGAGGATGTTTCCTCTTCTGGAGACATTCTGGAGCTGCTCCAGCCGTGTCTGTGTTGGACCTGCCCCAGCTGTCTCTGCAGACAGAGCCCATCAAACCCTCCAGGCCTCTACACTCAGCCTTTTCCCAGTGATCCCAGTTTCCAAAGACTTGCATGGAGGCAGGAGGCTTCATGGTGGTCTCTGAAATGAATGAGGCCTCCCATCTCTAACTCCCAGCTTTTCTGGACAGGGATTCTTCTCCTGGCCCTCATCATCCCAAGCGTTCTCCAGATCCGTGACGCAGGGTGGGCAGAGCGGGGAGCGCTGCCCCTCCTCCGGTCAAGCCATAACAGATCCATAACCGGTGACGTGGGATTTATTCTCCTGTTTGTCCCCCTGCAGGAAGAACCACTCCAAGTGCCTGGTGCACTGCAAGATGGGCGTGAGCCGCTCGGCATCCACCGTCATCGCCTACGCCATGAAGGAGTTCGGCTGGTCCCTGGAAAAGGCCTACAATTACGTCAAGCAGAAGCGCAGCATCACGCGGCCCAACGCCGGCTTCATGCGGCAGCTGCTGGAGTACGAGGGCATTTTGGATGCCAGGTGAGGCTCGGGATGAGTGGGAAGGAAAGGAGCTGATTGTGGAAGCATCACAAAGGATTGCTGGGTCTCTGTGGGGCTCTGTTGGTGTCATGCCCACAAATGGGTGAGGGGTCCCTTGAGAAGGGCACAGGCAGAATCCTGGGCCAATTGTGCTTTTCCTAAACCTTCCCTGTGCCAGGCTCCCTGCATGGAAATTAGCTGGGGGAGCTGCTCTGGTGTAATTCAGGGAGGGTTTCTCCGTGCTTGGGAAGCACGTTTGGATTTCTCAGCAGCCAGTGCTGCTCAGCACAGCATTGTTCTTGTTTTATGAGGCAGAACTGAGCTCAGGCCATTCTGGAGGCAAAGCGTTCGTGGTTCTGTGCCAACCCCAGGGCTCTGTCACTGCAAGGGCTGTAGTATTTATCTTATAAGGACAGAGGAGAGAATTCTGTCCCCTTGGTCACCAGGAGCTGTGCCATGGGACGTGCAGAGGGGTCAGTTTGGTTTGTTGTGCTCTGAGGGGGCTTCTGTGTCCTGAGAGGTCACCCAAAGTCTGATCCCACCATGGCTGCACTCATGGAACTGCTCTGGAATGGGCAGGTGGGGGGAAAAATCCCAGTGCTGAAGGTGGTTTGTCCAAGTGGGATCTCAGGTCTGGGCCCAGCCCTTGAGTTCTGGGCTGTGGAGACAGAAGGAAGTTCCTGGCACTGGGCATCCTGCAGGGCAGTCACTCGTGTCCTTGTCCTCTCCCCAGCAAGCAGCGCCACAATAAACTGTGGAAGCAGCAGGCAGAGAGCAACCTGCCCCAGAACACCGACGGCACCACGGGGTCGGGAGATTTCTTACTGGAGAGCTTGGACATCGACCTGGAAAACCGCCTGGCTGACCTGGACATGCCTTCCCAGTCTGCCTACCTGGACAACCGAGCCGGCTCCGAGGGCTTCGGTTACTGCTTCCGCCGCCTGTCGGACACGCTGCTGGAGAACAAGATTCCCGGGGACAGGGAGGGCTTCTTCCACATGGAGCAGCTGGAGCGGGATGCCCTGGTGGGACAGCCTGCATCTGCACCATCCCAGGGGAGGCTGCTGGAGATGGAAAAGGCCCCGGAGAGAGCGGAGCCACTGGCAGAGCTGGGTGGCTTCTGTGAGAAAGAGGCAAAGAAGAAGCTGGACTTCAGCCCCAGGAAGGGAAGGATGGTCCTTGGGGAGCCAGGGGAGGATGGTGTCAGGGAGGAAAATCCCATGGAAAAGTGGAAGCGGCGTTTGTCCATGCACAAGGAGGAGAGCAGGCTCAATAGGGAGAACTTGAATAACAACAACAGCAAAAGGAGTTGCCCGGAGGATTTTGAGGTGCGTATGGAGGTGAGATGGAGGTGATTGGCATGGCTGACTCTGCTGCAAGTGAAACTGCTCTTCTCATCCTCATAGCCCAGTTTCATTTGACTTGGATAAAGCCTTTCATTCCATTATGAGCTTCTCCCCTTTCGAGGCGCTTCTCACCAGGGCTTTGCTTGCCCGAGCTGTGGATGTAGATGCCAGAGAGTGCCCAGTGAGTGCCCTGTAAAGTGCTGTGGGCAGCTCGCTTGCATGACCCTCGCTTGGCACGGTAGGTATTCCTTGGAGACACTGTCTGCTGGGAAAGCACGTGGCTTTAGTTCCTGCTGCAGGGCCTGAGGTGGAAATGGGCTTTGTTCCAGATCTCTTTGGCTGTCCCACGCCTTGTGGGCTGTGCCGGTGTCTGTTCCGTGCTCGTTGATCTGTCCCTGTTTTCTCTCCTGCAGCACGATGCCGTGTTTGGGATCCTCAGCAAGGTGAAGCCTTCCTACCAGTCCTGCACTGACTGCATGTATTCCTCAGCGGGGTTGGCCCCCGACTCCTTCGGGGAGCAGTGCGAGAGGCTTGGCGCCGCGCGGCGCAGCAGCACCATCTGCACCCAGCCCCCCCTCCTGTCCCAGCTGCACTCCCACCTGATGGAACACCTGCCCAGCAGGGCACCCCCCGAGGAGCCAGGCAGAACTAAACATAACGAGGCTCCGCTCCCTCTGGCACCAGGAGCCGGGGCTGTGGAGGCTGGCACGTGCAGGTCACTGGATCAGCACTGCGGCCTTTTGGACAGAGGGAAAGATGCGCCAAAAACCCCCGAAAAAACTCTGCTGCCCAGGAGAAACTCCCACTGTGACAGGAGCCTCCTTCACGCAGAGATGGTGAGGGAAGAGTCTCTGGCCAGAAAGGACCCCAGACCTACCAAGGACCTGAAGTACCTGTTGTTCAGCAAAGACTTGGAAAAGCCGAGCGCCAACAGTTACTTGATGCAGCACCAGGAGTCGCTGCTCCAGCTGCAGAAAGCAGGGTTGGTCAGGAAGCACACCAAAGAGCTGGAGCGCCTCAAGAGCCTGCCCTCCGATGCCTCAGTGCTGCTCCGGGACAGCCCCCTGGGCAGGGTGGACTCCAGCATCGCGGAGGAAAGCGAGGACTTGATGTCCCATCCCGGCCTTGTGCCTCTCCTGGCACCGTCCCCACTGGTGCCCGGAGACACCGAGAACGACGTGGAGAAGCTGGGGGTGAAGCGTGTCCTGGAGGGGATCTCCCAGAAAACCTCCACGCTGGCCGGGTGCCGCCTGGAGCACACGAGCAGCTTCACCAAGGACTTCCTGAAGACCATCTGCTACACCCCCTCCTCCTCCCGCAGCTCCAACCTGACACGGAGCTCCAGCAGCGACAGCATCCACAGCGTGCGGGGCAAGCCCGGGCTGGTGAAGCAGCGCACGCAGGAGATCGAGACCAGGCTGCGCCTGGCCGGCCTCACCGTGTCCTCACCCCTGAAAAGGTCCAATTCCCTCGCCAAGCTGGGATGTCTTAACCTGTCCTCCGAGGACTTGTCGAGTGACGTGGACGTGGCCACCATCACGGACTCCAAGGAGGCCGTGTCCAGCGAGTGCTCCGTGCCCTGTGAGCCCCCGCTGAGGAGCGCGGACGGCACCTCCAAAGCAGGGGGGAAGCCTCTGGCTGGAAACTTGAAGAACACGCTTTGGATGGGCAAAAGTTGATGCCTTGCAGGGCGAGGAGGGGGCTGGAGCATTTTGGGGGTTTGCAGCATTTATTCATTGCACCAGTGCTGTTTTATCATCTGACTTGCAGCAGCTCATCTGGTGCCACCTCCTCGTCCCCTCTTTGTGCTCCGAGAGAGGAGGAAAGAACCACGATGGGTCCCAATGAAGGGCACAAGGGAAATAAAACGTGTTGCATGGCTTAGAGGAGGACTTGGTGTGTGACTTGCCTGTTGTCCTGCAGGATACTCTTCCTAGTACTGTTTGCCAAGTGTAATAATGTGGATGTGTGTGTTGTTATGGATAGATATTTGTATCTCTATCTATATCTAAAATGCTGAAATATTCTGTTTCAAAGATTCAAAATAATTATTCATTACTTTTTTTTACAGAACAAACACAAGTCTCTATTTAAACAGGGCACTTGTGGAAAATCCTTAAAATGGTGACACGCACACTACCTCTGTTCTCGCTGGCTTTTTGTCCTGGTCTATTGTTTGGAGCTTTTATCCAAAAGGCTTTTCCCAGAATTCTTGCTGTTGTTTGAAGGAATTCCCTTAGCTGTAAAGGCCTGGAGGAGTGTGAACACTGAGGCTTCCCCAGGCTGTGGCTGGGAGGTGACGGAGTGCTGAGGGGACACTGTGACCCGATGTCACCCTGGCTGTTGCTGTCACCGGTGTTGTGTTCTTGGGGTGTTTTGCTGTCGTTGTGGTCGGTGTTGTCCCAGTGCTGACAGAGCCTGGCCGGTGGTTGCCTGTGGACCCTCGTGATGTGAAGCTGTGTCAGTGTCGTGGGTGCTCTGGGGACCCTCTGTCACTGGGCTGTGGGTGACGTGAGGTGGCCGAGGAGGGGTGGCTCTCCTGGACCCCGGCAGGTGACAGAGTGTCCTTTGTGGTTGTGCTGTTGGTTTTGTAGGATGATCCCTGTGCCCGGGGAGCTGCTGGAGGAGTCTTGGGGGCTGTTTATGGTGGGCATCAGGAGTGTGGGTGCCACAGCCAGGCCGGGCCTGTCCCAGAGCTCACAGGGCTGTGTGTGAGAGCCACTGAACCCTGCTGGGGGGAGCTGACAGAAACACGGACACACTCTGAGAGGGATGCTGGAGGAAGGGTGGGCAGCCAGGGACTGTCTGTGCTCTCAGTCCAGTGTTTCCCCTCCTGCCAGGGCTGCTGCTTGGATTCTGTAGGGAATTCACATTTTCTGTGAGTATTTTTGGCAACCAGCCTGGTTGAGGGCTGCTCCATGCAAGCCCTTGCTGAGTCCAGTGGGAAGAGCTTGGGAAGTGAGCAGGGGATGTGCTCCAAACCTCGGTGCCCCCTGATCCCATCTGAGGCCTTGTGCCTTTGAGTGGTGTTTTGAAGTAGATTTGGGGGCTCAAAGAGGTGAATTTGCTCACCCTGGCTGTGGGTGGGAGCATTCCCACATTTTAAAATCTCCATGGAAAGGCTTTCTTGCAGCTCCCCTCTGAGGTGGGGCAAAGCCAGGCTGCAGCAGCTGCTCTGAACTGTATTGATTGAAAATCCAATGTCTTGAGGAAGGGAGCTGTGCATTTTCCTGCCCTAAATGCCTGGAGTTCCCTCTTTCCCCTTTAGCATAAGATCCTGCATGTTTCATTTGTGTGAGGAATTGTAGGGACAGGCAATCAGTGAATAATTGTCCCTCCTAAAAGAGTCTGAATTTGATTTGCACTTGTTCCACCCAGGAGAGCTGGTGTGGAGCAAAAGCTGCTCCGGGAGGGAGATTTTGCTGGAGCCTCTGTTTGTTTGGGCTGAGGCAGCGCTGGGTCATGCTCAGGGCAGGATGAAACCCCACAAGCCAGGGCCGGATCCATTCCCTGTGTTTGGATCATCTTTATCCTCCTTTGCAGCCAGATTCAGGTTTGCAAGGGGCAGACGGGAGGCCCCGGGGCTGTTGGGTGCCGCAGGGTCGGAGCAGCACCTGGGAAACCTCCGTGTCCCCTGCCCGGGACGATTCCACCGTCACCCTCGGTTATTGTTATAACCCAGGTTATTGTTCTCTGTGTGCTGCCGACCCTTCCCATCACTGCCTGGCTCGGGGAAGAGCTACTGGGAACGGTTTTGAATGAATTTGGAAAATTCCGTGAACTGACACAAGCGAGCATCTGATTTCCTTCCTGTTTCTCGAGTGCCTGCCGAGTTCTGCCGCGTCCAACCCGCCGCGTTCCGGGCTCAGCTCGGCACCCTCCGCCTTCCCCTGCTGCTGCTCCCGCCTGGCTCTGGCTGGATCAGCCCCAGGCTTCGCTGCGGGCTCGGGGCTCCCTCCCTGCGTGCTCGGGATACGGACACGGCTCGCTGGGAGCTGCTGCGGAAGCTCCGCTGTGCCATTCCCGGGGGCTGTAGCCAAACTCGCCCGTCCCGTCGGGTTTGTTGCATGACAAGGTTGATGTGCTTGTCCTCCCCACGTGTCGTACGTGTCCTTACGATGGAGTGCCTTACTCATAGTTTACAAACACTGTGTATCTGCTGAGCTGTTGGACTCTGCTGTTTGCTGTTCTCTAGGGAGTTTTTGGTGCTTTTGGTGTTTCCGGTGGCAGTGAGGCCATCCCTCCTCCTGTCCTGCCCTCCTGTCCCCGCCGAGCTCGGCACTGCTCACCTGCTACTGCTTCCCTCTGCTCTGGGCATGGCAGAACCAGAGGGCTCCGTGACAGCCGCGGTGCCCGCGGCTGCCCGGTGTCCCCAGTTATCCCATTTATCCCATTTATCCCATTTATCTATGCATCGCTGCCGGAACGCGGGCGGGGTGTGCAGGGACACATCCCATCACCGACCACGCTTTGCTCGGCAGACCCAGACCCTGTCCCGTCCTGCCAGAAATCCTGAGATGCACAAGCCGGCGCCTTATTCCCGGTCCGGGCGGTGTCGCTCCGTGTGGCAGCAGTGCCCGATCTCCCGGGGACCCTTCCCGTGCCGGGGGGTTTGTCCCGGCCGAGTCACCGACTCCCGGCAGGAGCGGTGGGGACAGTCCCGGTCAGTCCCTGAGGAGGGGTGAGTGACGTGTAGCTGTTCTGTGCATTGCTGTACTCCATAACAACGTTCCTTTATTCCATGGTATTTCTTAGCCCAATTTTATATGGAAATCTGCAGGATTTTTGTACTGTATGCCCGCGGGAGGGATGCATCATGCACTTTTTTTTTTTTTACTTTTGTTTGTAAAAAATGTCCTGGATATTTTATGTTCATCTTGTGAGGAAAAACAAATAAACTTTTTTTTTTTTCCTTTTACAAATGAGTTTTGTAATTTTGTTGGGAGGTGGGGAAGGAACAGATGCTGAAGGGGTGGAAAGAAAAGGAGGGAATATGGGAATATGGATATGGGATATATCCAGGAGCTGCTGTGTTATCATTGCCCATCTATCCTGGCTCTGTTTCCCTCATTTTTGGGTCCTAGCTGTTTTCTGATGCTCCTGAAGGCTGGATCCAGAGGAACAGGATGGAGATCAATCATTCTCCATCTGGTTTCTTCAGAGACCCCAGCCTGGGTTAAGGAGAAGCCTCTCACCTTCTAGAAAGGATGTTTGCCGTGGAGCAGTGGCACATGGAAAAGCGACACCTGCACCTTGCTGAGCCTGGAAAATCTTGCCTGGGTGAGGACCTTGATGCTGCCACAGCTGTGGGCTGTGGGATTCCACAGGCCTGTGCTGCCATCCTCAGCAGAGCCACGTGCCAGGTGTGCAAGCCCAGGAGCTCCCTGGGACCTGCATGGACAGCAGCTCTCTAGCTGGGGAAATCATCTGCACAGGACCGAGGGCACTGCCCTGGGCTGCTGGGGGTGGGTTTGGAGCATTTGTGTCTCCTTCACCTGAGGGTATCCCCAGGGGAGGGATGGATCTCCGGGTGTGAGAGCAGCTCTGGCACGGCCTGGGCAGGTGAAGAGCAGCTTCCTGCTGCTGTTTGAGATCCTGGAGCACAGCCTGTCCCTCAGCCAGCACCGTTTTGGGGGCAGTGTTTGCTGTTGGCTCATTTACCTCACACATCCCTTGGCTGGGTGGACAGAGACATCTCTCCCTGCTCAGCTCAGCTTCCCAAAGATGGAGCCTCCCCACAGAGCCATTCCCAGCTCCAGAGGTGGGTGTGAGTTGGATATGAGGAACCACAAGATGGGACTGTGGAATGGCTGGAGCATGCCCAGGCTGCCGGTGAGTCCCTGGCTGTTTTTTTTGTTCTTGTTAGGATTGGAAATTGGTCTTTTTCAGAGCGGTTCCTCACGGCTGAATGTTACATCCTGTTGTGATGTTGCCATGGCAAAACCAGGCAACATCTGGAGCAACACGAACTCTCTCCGGCGACCAGGGAGGGTTTATTTATAGCCTCGCTGACCAGAGGAGGTGCCTGAGCCTGGAGCTGCCGTGGGCAGGGGCAGCCTGGCACTGGGTGCCCGCCTGGCTGGGAACTGGGGTGGTGGGAAGGTGCAGGGTCCGGCTGTGCCCCTCCTCTCTCCCCCATGGAGGAGCTGCAGGTGCTCCAAAGCTGATCTCCTCAAGGACCCTCTGATGGTTCCCTGGCAGCATTTCCCAGTTCCATGTGGAGTTGGGGTGGTGAGCAGGTACTCTAAGGGTGGTTTAGGTGAAAAATGAGGTTTGGCAGGAGGGTGAGGCTGATGGCAGCACACAGGGGGCTGTGGCTGCATTTCCACGCTGGCAGAGGAGAAGCTGCTCTCTGGCAGTGGTTCTCCAGCTGCCTGCAGCCCCAGGATGATGCCTCTGCATCTATTCCTGCTGGGCCGTGGCTGAACAGCGCTCTGGCCTCTGCAAAGGTGGAAATGTAAATATTTTTCTAAGCAGAAGCTGTGAGCTGGTGCTGCCGAGGCCAGAGGAGCCAGTTCCTGCAGCGGGCACAGGCCGAGCTGTGCTGCCAGTCAGGTTTGCTCCCGCCTCGGTGTGTATTCCCTAAAAGTCTCTTCCTCCCTGTGTTTGAAGGACAGGACAGCAGCAATGCTGCAGCAGCTGCCATTTCCTTTTATGCAGAGGGTTCAGGAGCAGAACCACGTTGGTGCCATGTCAGAGCTCCGAGCAGCTCCCTGGAACATGGGACACAATGCCCAGGGAAGGTCCCAGGACACAGTTGTGCCCCTTCTACACCAACCCTGGGCTCTGCAGTCCCCACACAGGACGAGCCCAAACCACCACGATATCCCCAGATTGTGAGGGTTTGTGAGAAGCATAGAAAGTATTTGGTTTTGTCACGAGGGCTTGAGGGGAACACCCAGAATTATTGATGGGGTCACAGTGCAAATGTTGAGTGTGTTCATCCCATGGGAGAGGTGATTTGGCTGTGAAGTTCCTCACTCCTGCACCTGCCAGCACACCTTGCTCAGCATTTCTCTACCTGCCAGGACTGCTGCTGCCAGGTTCTCCTGCTGCTGGTGTTGGCAGGAGCAGCAGGAGCCCGGCCACCAGCCCTGATCCCACTGGGAGTTGGTTGTGTTTGCTCTGGGCAGCCTCGGTGGGGATTTAAGACTTCCAGTGGAAACAAACGGGATTTTGTCTGTGCAGAGCAGCTTTGCAATGTGAACTGATAAAGAACAGTCCCAGCGAGGGGCCTGGCTGGCTCCAGGCCGATAAGGGCTGGGATAACCCTCATCCCTCGCTCCTTCCCCTTGGCAGTGGCCAGGACTCACTCCTGACATGGGACACAGGATGAGGTAGTGGCATGGTGACCGTGGTCCAGGTGTCACCCACGCAGCTGCTGTGTGTCTGTGGTGCTCAGAGGTTGTCTGGGTACTTGAGGTCTCTGGACGAGGCCCTGTGGGATTTTCCAGCCTCACGGAATATCAGGAGATGCCTTTGGGCTGGGGCCAGGTCCTGTTTGCCAGCTCCATAGGTGACACTGGGGTAGTTCAGCCCTGACACCGCAGAGGTGCCTGTGCAGGCACCTCTTTTGGGATGATCTAGGTGTTTTCCTGCATCCTGCCTCGGGATGCTTCCCGGCTCAGGGAACCATAAAAGGCAAAGCACAGGGGCAGCGGCTGGGCTGGGAGCTGAGCTGGGAGCTGCGGCTCACTGCAATGCCAGGCATCCCAGCTGTGTACAAACGGATTAGAGCCCTCCAGCTCCCCGGCTCCACCGCCGTCCGGAGGGTTATCCAAAGGGAGCAACGTTCTGCTTGGAGGGTTATTTAGAGAAGTGCCCAATGCGTTAATAGAGATTTTTGATAAGTTGTGTTTTGGGGTTTCCACAGGGAAAGCTGTGTCTGAGGCTGCCGTCGGGCTCCCGTGTTTATCTCGGGCAGCCGGTCTCTGTCACAGCAATTCCCTTTTCCATAACGTATTCCCGCAGATCATTCCAGCCGCCCTGGCTCTGCCCCGCGCGCTCTGTGCAGGCAGCATCTCTCCCTCAAACTCTGGGACGCAGCCCAAGGCTGAGTGCTGCTTCCAAGGAAGGAGCACTGGGGGAGCCGCTCCGCGTCCCACGGCTGCGGGGCCGGGAGGGGAGAACAGCGCCAGGGACACAGATGCGGGTTTCCATCTCTCCGTGGAGCCCACAAGGAGCTGGCAGAGGTGGTTCTGCCCAGACAGCCTGGCAGTAAATCCCTCTGGAAGTTGCAAAATTGGAGGCAAGCCGGGATTGCTGCACAGGGCTGTGGGGAGCTGTTGCTGGAGTAGGCTGGGGAAAGAGGAGAATCCCTGGAGAAGGATGCAGATGGGAAGCAAGTCCTGACTGTGAAGTGCCGTGGACCAGCAAATTATCAGCTGAAGGGGGTTTTTCCAGTTATCCAGGTGGGATGTGTTTGGGTTAGGACTAGCGTGGCATCAGCTGTGCTGGGTGTGGTGTCAGGAGTGGCAGAGCACAGGCTGTGTTGTGCCAATGGGATGTTCCTCTCTGCTGGCCATGAGGCCAAGGAACGCCGGTTCACATGACCCAGGCTCCAACGCTTCCAAGTGCCGCCGTCTCCCAGAGCAGAGCGAGGAGGAGGCGGTGCTGAAAGCCCGCCGAGACCCAAGGTGGGAAAAATCTTGGCTGGCCAGTCCCAAAGCATTTGGAACCAGGAATTATAGTGACAGAGTTCCCGGCCATGGAAGCCTCCACCTGGCAGTACCGTGGATATTTACGGGATGACACAAGTAAGGCGAGGGGGAGAGACTGCCCAGCTTCCCGGGGAGACTCTGCAGGCACCTGTGAGGATTATCCACTGCTGCAGCTCAGCCAGGAGGGCCTGGGACACAGCCGGGAGCGGGGGGACCGCCCCGACCTCCGGAGCGACACCACAGGCCCTGCCAAGAGGTCAGAGATGAGCAGCAGCGGGCAGAGAGGGCAGCGGGGGCCGGCAGGGGAGCTGTGCCTGGAAGAGCATCCCATGTCCAAAGGGTGCAGGAGAGGGCGGGAGGGAGAAGCCCCTCCAAAGGTGTACGAGCTGGAGGTGGTGCCCAGGCGGGTGGGCACGGGCAGGACAGTGAGGCCGGTGGTCTACAGGCTGGAGGAGAGCGAGTACCGGCGCCTCATCCAGGAGGCAGAAACGGAACCCGAGGAGGAATGGGAAGAGGCAGAGGACACGCTACCCTTGATTCAGGAGGGCTACACAGGGGATGGGAAGGTGGCAAGCCCGAGCCTCAGCAGGCTCAACTCCTTGGAAAGAGTCCTGAGGAGGCAGATGAGCCGCTCGGACTCGGAAAGCAGCGTGGAGGGCAGGCAAGTGAGCAAACTGAGCCCCAAGGGCCCCTCGGAGGGGAACAAGCCGACCGTGCCCGTCAGGTCCGACAGCTTCGAGCGCAACGCCATCCTCATGGACTACATCCTGCAAAGCAAGCAGGAGGCAGGCACACCTGTGTCCTACATCCCCAGGGACAGCAGCAGGGACAGCCTGAGGCAGGCACGGAGCTTCACCCCCCAGCCTGATGGAACGCTTGACCTCTGCCAGAATGGCCAGGCCAGCGAGGAGGATCCGGCCAGGAAGCCCGAGCCAGACCAGCAGGTAGTGAAGAGCCTCGAGAGAATGGTCCCTGCGGTCACAAATTATCCCTCGGTGGCCAGGGACACCGGGAATCTTTCAAGACAGAGCAGCAGCCAGCTCCGGGACAGCCGGGAGCAGCTCGGAGGTGAAGCTGAAGAACTCGATTCCTACATCCCGAAAAGAACCCCCCCGGCCCCCCCTGTCAGGACCCACAGCAAGGAGTGCCTGGCTCTGAGTATGAGCAAGGCTGTGGCGCTGACGGAGGCGCTGCTGGAGCCCCTCGGCGACGAG